CAACAAATACTGAATGTGCCACTGAGCTTTGAGGAAGAGCAATATAGTGGTGTTCATACAAGCAAACCCCCAGTTTACTGAGGGGACAGTTCAGAATCTCAGTAAATACTTTCAAGGGAGTTTATGAAAGTCAACATCTATTCATGATTAAAAACTTAAATTTCTTAAAACTAGGAATAAAATGACACTTCTATAAGGTAATATATTTCCTTTCTCTGAAACCAGTTATCACTAATATACATGATATTTACAAAGGGTACATACTCATGAATTCACAGGAATAATGGTCTGCCCTATGGAATCAAGGCTAAAACAAACTTGCCTAGTAGTACTGTTGTTGTTGTGTGCCATTGAGTTGATTCTGACTCATGTGTGGGGTTCCTGTGTAGGGTTTCTGAGAGTGGCTGGTGGATTTGAACTGCAGACCTTGTGGTTACCAGTCCAATGTTTACCTCACAGCACCACACCAGGGCTCCCTAATATCACTACTAAGATTTTATTGTGGAAGTGACCAATGGAACTAATTAAATTCTAATATGTTATAAATATCAATAGCTTTCCTATATAACAGTACTAAACTAGTAGAATGTAAGTGCGAAAATCATATTCACAATAGTAATAAAAATGTAAAATATTTGTAAATAAACTTAAGAGCTATTTAAATCCACATTAAGAAAACTGTATAACTTAGAAACATTAAAAAATATATCTTTACTAAGAAATTACCTGCTTTCCTGATGGGAAGAATTCATATTGTTAACACAACAGTCTAACTAGGATTGTTGTTGCTGTTGTTGTTGTTGTTAAGTGCCGTCGAGTCGGTTGTGACTCATGGTGACCCTGTGCAGGCTTTCTGAGGAGTGACTGGTGAGTTTGAACTACCGACTTTGTGGTCCAGTTCATCATCCTGCATTGCTACACCACGACTAGTCTGGATATTTAAGAAGATTCTAATAAAATCCAAAAAGTACCTTGTAGGGGTGGGGTATCAACTAAATATAAAAAAATAAATATAGAATGTGAGCAAATAATGTAATAGGGTACAGTAAGACTTTTTTTTTTTTTTTAACTGAGTAGAACTTTTCCACAGATATTAAAAATATAATTCATTAAAATACTGTGACATGTTTTAGAAATGACAGATATGTGTAATAGAGTCCAGAAATAGATGCAGTCTATAAAAGAAATTAGTTTACATTAAATGTGGCATTTTTGATCTGTAGGGGGAATGATAGATTGTTCTACAATTGGTTAGAGACAGCTGTGCAACAAACAACCAAAAGAAATCATCTTCCCCAAGTAAAATTAAAGTTTAAATGGATTAACAGTTTATATATAAAAAATAAGGAGCTCTGGTAGCATAGTGGTTACGAATCAGGCTGCTAATCACAAGGTCAGCAATTTGAAACTACCAGCTGTTCCATGGGAGAAAGATGAGGCGTTCTGCTCCAGTAAATATTTATAGCCTCAGAAACCCTAATCAGGGTTGATATGGGTCGGAACCAACTCCGCAGCACACTACCACCACCACCATATAAAAAAATGAGACTGTAGAAATTCTAAGAGCCAAAAGACATAAATATATATATGATCTCAAGGTTGCAAAGGCTCCTGAAAGGTGGATACAAAAGGCATAAACTATTGATTAAGCAATTATTAGTAGATTTGCATATGTAATAAAAATTCTGTACAGTGTGACTAGCATCATAAATAAAATTTAAAGATTAAATACAAAACTTAATAACACTAAAAATATAAAAAGACATTTTACATATTATTAAGAAAAATGGAAAATTGTTAAAGAGATATGATTAGGCATTTTATAAAACAAGACACACGCAACAAAAAAACAGTTATCAGTGAGACAGCTTTTTTTTTTTTTTTATGTCGATCATACTGGAGAAAAGAAAATTAAATGATAAAAATGATAATATGTAGTGCCAGTGAAGAAGAGTTAGGGAAACTGAAAAGATTTCCACTTCTGGGATGAATTCTAGGGAAGAGCCTGTGGGAGGGTAAGTCAGAAAGTATTACTACTAGAGTTTCAGTTCATACATGCATGGTTTATTCTAAACACAATATGCTTAAACATGCTTCTGTAAACAATTTTCTCAGTAATACACTTATCTTAGTCTTGTTTAAAAAAAAAAAAAAAAAAAAAGGTTCAATCTACTGGTCCCCTCGGTGGATTCCGAGGGGATCTCCTGGTCCAGTTAAATTCAAGGCACAGAGGTCAGTTCAGAAGGTTATAGTGACTTTTTTTGAATTTGGACAATCATGGGGGCCTACTATGAAGACAATTGAAAACTGCATTGGTAATAAAACAGCTGAGAAAGTTCTGCTATGGAAATTTTTTTGTTCCATCATAGCAATGCACTTGCTCCTTATTCGGTGGAAGTAAGGGCTGTTTTATGATAATTTTGCTGGGAAATCTTATCCCATCCACCCTACAGTCCTTATCTTACCCTTTCAGACTTCTCTTTATTTTTGAAAACTCAAAGAACATCTCAAAGGAATATGAGGATGCCAAAATACACTGAATTCTTTTTAGAAAGATGGAAATGCCACCTCCAGAAGTGTATAGGCCTAGATGGAGGAGATGTCAAGAAATAATAGTTTCCTGTTTTGATATTTTTGCTTGATAAATGTGTCTATGATTTTTAGCAATATTTTTTGACATATCCTCCTATAGAGCTTTAACTGTAGACATTTTTACTGAAGCTTAGGAACATAAAGCATAAATAGCAAACAATAGGCTTTGCGCACATAAATCATATTTGATCTTTATAATTAATACTCTTTAGCTACTAAAATGGCATAATAGGTGACTACTTCTTGTTGTGGACATTGTTGTTGTTGTTGTTCTTAAGTACCATTGAGTCGAGTCCGAGGAGTGGCTGGTGAGCTTGAACTGCTGACCTTTCAGTTTAAACCAACTTTGTAGACCAGTGTATTAACCCATAGCACCACCAGGATTCCGGATATGGGCATATGATTGCTAAATTTAAAATGCTAATTCTACAACAGTGTGACCCCATTATTTTTTCCCCTCTTAGTCTTTTTTTTTTTAACCTTAGCATTTTATTGTGAACTGGGAACAGAGCAGATAATCAGTTTGCTACTCAACAATTCCTGCACATTTTGTTCCATCCCATTGACTGCAATCCTCACAGTGTAACCGCGTGTATCCTACTGCCTGTGTTCCTTGTCTCCATTCCTCCTCCTTTCTTTTTTTTAATGTTTTGTTTATTGAGTGACAGTTTACAGGGCAGATCATCAGTTTGACACTCAACAAATTATATTTTGTTTTATTATAACGATTATAATCCTTTTCATGAACCATTGGTTAGCAGTATTTACCTCTAATCCCCACCACTGCTTTTTGTTTTTATTGTGAATTCAGTGCTAGTTGACATGAGAGAACATGGTTTTACAGTCACCTTTTCATTGCAGTGACCATAAGCTCTTCCATGCATCATTATTCAATAGTAGTTGCTTCTATCCCCTCTGTTTTTTGGGATGTACACAAAAACACTCAAGAATATATAATAATTTAAACAACCAAAGGGCACATTCTGCAAGCCTGCCTCCTGGCCGCCATCACTCAGTCTCTCTCGTTCCATGAGTCTAGAGTCCTCAGCTGCTCCCTCTCTCCAAGTCCTCATCTCTGCCTCCATCTCTGGTGTCACTGCTTCTCTGGCTAGGGTACCACATTCCACTCATGCTCTTCTCTCTTGATGTTCCTAGGGAGTGTGACTCCATTTTAATTTATTAAAATAAACATTCATGCTTATTTAAAAAAGGCTAATGGATATGATACAACCTTGATCGCTGAAAGTGAAGAGGACTTGAAACATTTACTTATGAAGATTAAAGAGCACAGCCTTCGATATGGATTACATCTCAATGTCAAGAAAACAAAAATCCTCACCACTGGACCAATAAACAACATTCTTATCAATGGAGAAAAGATTGAAGTTGTCAAGGACTTCATTCTTCTTGGATCAACTATCAACACTCGCGGAAGTAGCAGTCAAGAGATCAGACGACGTATTGCACTGAGCAAATCTGCTGCACAGGAACTTTTTAAAGTGTTGAAGAGCAGAGATGTCAGCTTGAGGACTAGGGTGCGCCTGACCCAGGCCATTGTGTTTTCAATAGCCTCATATGGATGCGAAAGCTGGACAGTGAATAAGGAGGATCGTAGAAGAATTGATGCCTTTGAGTTGTGGTGTTGGAGGAGAATACTGAAAGTGCCATGGACTGCCAAAAGAACCAATAGATCTGTTTTGGAAGAAGTGCAGCCAGAGTGCTCCTTGGAGGCCAGGATGGCTAAGCTTCGTCTCTCCTACTTTGGACATATTGTCTGGAGGAAACAGTCGTTGGAGAAGGATGTCATGCTGGGTAGGGTGGAGGGTCAGAGAAAAAGAGGAAGACCCCCAACGAGATGGATCAGCCAGGTGGCATCATTGATGGACTCAAGTGTGGCAGCGGTAGTGAGGTTGGCCCAGGATCGGACATTGTTTCGTTCTGCTGTGCATGGGGTCGCTATGAGTCGGTTCCGACTCGATGGCACCTGACAACAACAACAACAATGGATATACATAAACCAAAATTATTTTTGTTTGATAAAAGAGGAGCCTGGTAGCACAATGGTTCTACGCCTGCTGCTAAACCAAAGGTCAACAGTGTGAACCCACCAGGGGCTCTGTGGGAGGAAACACATAGTAATCTGCTCCCATAACAACATTTTTTTATAAAGCGAAGCTCATTGCCATCAAGTTGATTCTCACTCACAGTGATCATATAGAACAGAAACCCATAGGGTTTCCAAGGCTGAAATCTTTGTAGAAGCAAACTTTTACCTCTTTCTCCCCTAAAGAAGCTGAGCTCTTTAACCATGGCACCACCAGGGTCCCTTCCATAAAGACTGTTGTTATTAAGTGCCATAGCAATCCTGTAGAAGATTTGTGAAACTTCAGATCTTTGTTGTTGTTAAGTGCTATCAAGTCGGTTCTGACCCATAGCGACCCTGTGTAGAGTTTCCAAGGAGTAGCTGGTGAGCTTGACCTGCCGACCTTGCAGTTCAAATGGCTTTGCAGTCTGGCACATTAACCTATAGCGCCACACCAGGACTCCTTTGTAGGAGCAGAAAAATCTGGATTCAGAAAGTGTGTTTTTTAATAGGAGCAGCTTATGGTATGAGATACTATTAGTCCTTGGCAATGTGGACGTTCTTTTCCTATCATGTTACAGTGATGCTGCTGAGACGGGATGGGCAGTCACAGCAATGCTGGGCAGATCAGATCATTATAATAGTTAACCCACAATTCATTTAAAATCAGTATAAAACATAGACGTCTGAACTGTGAATGATAATTACTATGGGCCTAAACTAGTGATGTACGAATACTTTGTGTATTTAAGACACACTTGTGACTTGTCTTGGAAAGTGTCTCTATTAGAGCAAGTTGCATTGACAGTCCTGAGTGACTTTGACATGGAGGCAGTGATTGGGTCCCTGGGTAGACTCTTGTTCCATGTTTTGTCTGACCAGAAAACTGACATGCAGACAAAGGAGAGAGCTATTGAATGCTAAGGGGGAGAAAAGATAACTTTAACTATACTTTATCAGTAATATGTAGAGATAAATTCCTAAAAGGAAATAAGGTCTGAGGAAATTACAGGAAATATTAAATCTGTGATTCTGTTTATGGTAGAAACGCAGAACAACAAATTCCAGCTGTTTCTCTAAGGGTTATAGAAGTGTCAGAGGCCTGTTTATAGTTACTGAGTTGTCGACTCCAGTGGAATCCCATTGGTTTAGTTAGAGATTACTCAGACTCATCCAAAAGGACATTGCTTACAGGCATTGTGTTTATGGAATACATACAGCCCTATACCAAATTTTTGTTTCCCCAAACTTCTATTTCAGTCTTTCCCCTCCCTACCAACAGTTTGCCTTCTCTTCCCACAAAGGTTAGTGTGTTGTTGTTGTTAAGTACCATGGAGTCAGTTCTGACTCATAGTGACCCTGAATAGGGTTTCCGAGGAGCAACTGGTGAGTCTGAATGGCCAACCTTGCTGTTCAAACCGTGTGATCCAGTGCTTATCCTACCACGCCACACACCTGAAGTTGTATTTATTTAACAGTTATATAGCATTTCCTATGACTTACACTATTTTAAACATCTTCAAAGTATTAATTCATTTAATCTTTCTCAACAAGGTACTATTATGGATTAGGGGCTATTTTAAGCTGAAACAACTACAACAAAAAACATAAACTTTACGAGATGAGAGAGATAATTTGCATCCAAATTAAAAACTTAAGTATGAAAAAGTCAGTAAGATTAAAAAGCAAGCCATACTCTGAAGATATTTGAACTATATATTACTGATAAGAGATTTCTATATTTATGTGAAGACACCTACAAGTCAATAAGAAACAAGTCTAACTGAATAATGGGCAAAGGATATGAAGAGTAAGACACACAAGAAAAAAACTAAAACCCACATCTACTTGCCTTCCATTTATGAGAAGATGATTAGTTTCTCTAGTTCTGAGAAATGCAACTTAATTTAAAATAACCATGAGAGGCCATTCGACCTCTAACAAACTGGCAGAAATGTAAAAGTTTGACAATAACAATGGTGGTAGTTGGTTCCAACTCATAATGACCCTGTATAGGATTTCTGAGACTGTGATTTATTATTTTTTTAAAAGTTTTTATTGTGAATTAAGTGAAAGTTTACAGGACACATCATCAGTTTTACATTCAACAAATCATATACTTTGTTTCATTATAATGATTAAAATCCCCTCGATGTACTATAAGTTAACAGTATGTCTCTCTATTCATTTTAGCTCTTTTTTTTTTTTTTAAACACTCAGGCATATATAATAATTTAAACCACCAAAGGGCACATTCTGAAAACCGAGGCTGTGAATTTTTATGGGAGCAGAAGCCTCATCATTTTCCTACAGAGCGATTGGTAGCTCCAAACTACTGACCTTGCAGTTAGCAGCCCAGCTGATAGTCTCCCATGTTACTAGGGCTCCTTTGACAATAACAATAGTTGGTGAGAATATGAAGCATGGTAGAAGTAATAATCGGAATCAATAACTTTGGAAAGCAATTTGACAAAATCTAATAAAGCTGTACAGCTCAACCAGTGCACTTCTCTGCATATACCAGAAGGAATCAATTTCACAGAGACAACTATAAGGTTCCATCAAAACACTGTGTATAATATTAAGACACTGGAAACAATGGATCATCAGTAGAACATTGTAGAATAGTCATACTACCAAGGGATAAAATGAATGAGCCAAATCAATATGTATGAATATGAATACATTTGGAAGAGTAAAAAATGTTGGACAAGAAAAGCAAGTTGCAGTTTATAGTTAAAAACTGTACAACATTATGCTTTATATTGCTAGTGATTTATCCAAACAGACACACACGTAGTATAAATAAAAGAGCAGAAAACCATGGTTGGCAAGTCTACAGCTCTAAATAGAGACAGTATAGTGCAACAGACACATATACCTTTATATTAAAATTTAATTGTTGTACTTCAGGTTTTAAATTGTATGATTAAATCATTATGTGAATTGAAGATTTTTTTTTTTTTCATGATGTTGTCATATTAATATTAGCCTGTTACATTTGGATTTTTAAATGATGGAAAATCTCTCTGCAAAGAAAACTAACTAAACCCCTTAAATAACATTTTGGAGCCCTGAATTTGTATGTGGGGAAATGATTGAGAAGACTTGAAAGAGTCTTGTCACAAAGTCTTCAGATATCGTTTATCCTGGAAAACAGTTCTGGCACAAAAGTCATGGGAAATGCATGAAACCAAGAGGGATATGACTTTGTTTTTTTAAACCAAAAATGTTGCCCTATTATGTCTTTGAACACCTCACAAACTACATAGAGATGAGGGAAATGGGAACCTTTTATTTGCTTTAAATTGTTTCACAATCACAAGCCACCTGATTTTGCTCAGAGGCAGCAGGATTCTTAGGGAAATGCAGCTTCCTCCAGCTGTGACTCCAGCATGGGCCCTGCAGGGATTCTCATTAATCACTCACTGACAGACTTTGGACTTGGCCTGTTAAGATGAGACAAAGAGACAGGGTCTTTAGCCTCTTTGGCCCCCTCACAAATTATATTGATGACGTTGATACCTCTTTGTTGTTATACTGTTAGTGGTTGGTGGTTCTGTGCCATGAAGTTGGTTCAGACTCATAATGATCCTGTATGGGGTTTCTGAGGCTGTGAATTTCTCCCATTCAGCAGCTGGTAGATTAGAACTGCTGACACATTACCTGACCAGAGCTCCTGCTAGTTGCTGTCAATCAACCACAATGCCGTGACCAATCAGAAGCATATCATTATGCTGTGACCAATCAGAAGCAGATCACCAGGCCTATCTCCTGAAACTCTGCTCAAGGGGGTTGAACCACCAATCTCCTGGCTAGTAACTGAACACTGATAGTTTGTGCTACCCAGGGACTCTTCTTGGACGACCTTTTTGCACTTAGTTGTTGGTGGTGGTTATGTGCCTTGGTTCCAATGATTCTATAGAGAGTTTCTGAGACTAAATTTTTACAGGCGTAGAAAGCCTCATTTTTCTCCCTTGAAATTAATAACCCAACTCATAACCCACTGTACCACCAGATCCTCCACAGACACTTCTTCAACTACCTCTTCACACTTGGGACTGCATCAATCTTTATCGTTATTTCAAAATGGTCCTGGTTGCTGGCCTGGCAAACTCTACCTACTTATTTCTCCCTGACATTTCTCATGCCGCCTGGTACATAAAAAGTTAGCAGTAGTTCCAAGGTGCTGGGCTTCAAATACTGTTTCTTCCTCTGCTCCTAGACTTCCCTACCCAGAGCTGAGCAATAAAAAGGTGGTGAGTAATCGATGGGCTTGAAACTCAGTGTGGATTCATTCCAACTTTGCTCCTTGATGTTTTTGTGAGTTGAAATGGCTACTTAAACTCCCTAAGTGAATTTCACTGAAGTGCACTGACACAACAGCCGCAACAATGGACTCAAAGACACCAATGACCATGCAGATGGTGCAAGAACTAGCAATGTCTCAAGGTTGGGTCTTTGTACCTTGAAGATTCAACTTCCCGTCATTGACATGAAAAATTCTAAATCCTCCTTCAACATCAACATCCTGCCTCCAAAGTGGCCTCCTTTATGAAACCTCTCCTTCCTCCCAGGCAGAGATCAGGTTCCCCTCTTTGATGCTTCAATCCTTCCTTTGTAAATTTGTTACAGAATCCTGTATTGTAACGCGCCTGTTTCAGGAACTTTGTTCTCTACTGGGCTATGAAGTGTCTGAAAACAGGCACTATGTTTTATTTATTGTTGCAGTCTCATTGTTGTTGTTGTTAAGTGCCTTTGACTTGGTTCCAACACAAAGCAGCCCTATATAGTTTCCAAGGAGCAGCTAGTGGGTTTGAATTGGCAACTTTGTGGTTAGCTTGTTGTTGTCAGGTGCCATCAAGTTAGTACCAACTAACACACAACAGAACGAAACACTAGTCAGTTATGGGCCAACCTCACTATCATTGCTACGTTTGAGCCCATTGATGCTGCCACTGTGCTAATCTATCTCATTGGGGGTTTTCCTCTCTTTTTCCAACCCTCTGCTTTACCAAACATGATGTTCTTCTCCAGGAACTGGTCCCTCCTGACAATGTGTGATTAATAGTCCAGTGCTTATCCTATGGCACCACACGTGCTTTCTCCATGGTGGTGGCAGTAGTGTGCCTTTGAGTTGGTTATAACTCCTAGGGTTTCCAAGGCTGTAACAGGAGCAGAGAGCCTCATCTGTCTCTTACAGAGTGGCTGGTGAATTCGAACTGCTGACCTTGCAGTTAGCAATTCAATGTATAACCCACTACCTACCAAGGCTCCTTAGTTGGCACAGAATTGTTGATAAAAGCATCAGGAATTCATGACTGAGCATTAATGTTGAGAGGGGAATGTTGCCATATGTAAGGAGTCCTGATAGCGTGGTGGATTATGAGCAGTGTTGCTAACTGCAAGTTCATCAGTTTAAACCCACCAGTCACTCCGAAAGGGAAAGATGAGGCTGTCTGTTCCTGTTAAGATTTATTGCCTCAGAAACTATGAGTTTCTGTCTGTTCCTGTTAAGATTTACTGCCTCAGGAACTGACTCCGGCACACCACCACCACCACCATCATTGACATATAGAGTACGGAAGTGAGGAAGAACATTAGTGCAAAAGATGAGTAGTTTTATGTCCTCCTTTTGGCTATCTGTGACCGATAAACAATGCAAAAAAAAAAAAAAACAACACCCCGCTGTACCTTCTGGATGCATTCTGCTGAAATCACTGTTATGTATTAGAAGCAGTTTTGGAGTTAAACATCTAGGTTCAAATATAACTGCTGATCCTAAAAGCTATATGAATTTAAAAGCTATATGATAAAATGCGCATAAAAATCATGTTATAGTGTAATTGAGAAGATAAAATTGACCAAATATAAACCAAACATTTAATTTGATGCTCTCTACGACCCGACTCGATGGCACTTAACAACAACAACAACATTTAGCTATTCTGGAGCTCTGGTAGCGTAGTGGTTACGAATCGGGCTGCGAACCTTAAGGTCAGCGGTTCAAAACTACCAGCCGCTCCGCGGGAGAAAGATGAGGCTTTCTACTCCCGTAAGGATTTACACCCTCGGAAATCCTGTACAGGGTTGCTATGGGTCGGAACCGACTCGACGGCACTTAACAACAACAACAACAACATTTAGCTATTAACTAGTAACACAGTAATTTCCTTCTGTGGCCAGGGGCTCTTGCTTATTGGTGGCTGTGTGCCGTGCAGTCGGTTCCAACTCATAGTGACCCTGTACAGGGTTTCCGAGGCTGTAAATCTTTACGGGACCAGAACGCCTCATCTTTCACCGGCGGAACAGCTAGTAGTTTCGAACTGCTGACCTTGCGGTTCACTGCCTGATTCGTAACCACTATGCTACCAGAGCTCCTTATTAGTGTCTCTCTATTGTTGTATTTGGGAGTGTGGTGGATCCATATAATAAGCACTGGACTGTGAAACCCAAGGTTCAAGCCCACTAGTCGCTTCACAAGATAAAGATAAGGCTTTCTGCTCCTACAACACTGAAAAACCTCAGAAAGCCTGTACAGCGTCTTTACGAGTAGGAACCCACTTGAAGATACTCAACAACAACAACAAAGCATGCTATTTGGCTGCTTTGCAACTTTAATACATTCTCTAAAGAGAAGAGTTTTTTGTTTGCCCGTCTTTGAATGTTAAGAAATGTTGATGTTAAGCAATTTAAACCACACCCTTATTTAAATCCATCCTTGTTGTTGTTAAGTGCCATGGAGTCGGTTGCGACCCATAGCGACCTGTATAGTGTTTCTGAGGAACAGCTGGTGAGCTTGAACCGCGGACCTTACAGTTCAAACGGCTCATGCAGTCTGGCGCATTAACCCACAGCGCCACACCGGGACTCCGTAAGCACAACTGCGTTTTCGCTAGCTAAATACTGTGATCTGATTAACAACACTCATTCATGGCGTCAAGGGAATTTAACAAAAATCTAGAATTAAATATTGTAGCGTAGTGGTTACGAATCGGGCTGCGAACCTTAAGGTCAGCGGTTCGAAACTAACAGCCTCTCCGCGGGACAAAGATGAGGCTTTCTACTCCCGTAAAGATTTACACCCTCGGAAACCCTGTACAGGGTCGCTATGGGTCGGAACCGACTCGACGGCACTTAACAA